AAAAAAAAGAGAATTTAAAAAAAGCAGCGACCTTCTGCTGATTTCTGTGCGCCTGGTATCTCAGATTTGAATTTAACGGTTTTCTGCCATTTGAGCGGTGGAAAGTGGAGGCAGCAAATGGGAAAAAGAAGAGCGAAAAAGGAGAGCAACGAAATACAAAGAGAAACAAGAAAAAAAGAGAATTTAAAGAAAGCAGCGACCTTCTGCTGATTTCTGTGCGCCTGGTATATCAGATTTTAATTTAACGGTTTTCTGCCATTTGAGCGGTGGAAAGTGGAGGCAGAAAGTGGGAAAAAGTAGAGCGAAAAAGGAGAGCAACGAAATACAAAGAGAAACAAGAAAAAAAGAGAATTTAAAAAAAGCAGCGACCTTCTTCTGATTTCTGTGCGCCTGGTAACTCAGATTTGAATTTAACGGTTTTCTGCCATTTGAGCGGTGGAAAGTGGAGGCAGGAAATGGGAAAAAGTAGAGCGAAAAAGGAGAGCAACGAAATACAAAGAGAAACAAGAAAAAAGAGAATTAAAAAAAGCAGCGACCTTCTGCTGATTTCTGTGCGCCTGGTATCTCAGATTTGAATTTAACGGTTTTCTGCCATTTGAGCGGTGGAAAGTGGAGGCAGGAAATGGGAAAAAGTAGAGCGAAAAAGGAGAGCAACGAAATACAAAGAGAAACAAGAAAAAAGGAGAATTTAAAAAAAGCAGCGACCTTCTTCTGATTTCTGTGCGCCTGGTAACTCAGATTTGAATTTAACGGTTTTCTGCCATTTGAGCGGTGGAAAGTGGAGGCAGGAAATGGGAAAAAGTAGAGCGAAAAAGGAGAGCAACGAAATACAAAGAGAAACAAGAAAAAAAGAGAATTAAAAAAAGCAGCGACCTTCTGCTGATTTCTGTGCGCCTGGTATCTCAGATTTGAATTTAACGGTTTTCTGCCATTTGAGCGGTGGAAAGTGGAGGCAGGAAATGGGAAAAAGTAGAGCGAAAAAGGAGAGCAACGAAATACAAAGAGAAACGAGAAAAAAAGAGAATTTAAAAAAAGCAGCGACCTTCTGCTGATTTCTGTGCGCCTGGTATCTCAGATTTGAATTTAACGGTTTTCTGCCATTTGAGCGGTGGAAAGTGGAGGCAGGAAATGGGAAAAAGTAGAGCGAAAAAGGAGAGCAACGAAATACAAAGAGAAACGAGAAAAAAAGAGAATTTAAAAAAAGCAGCGACCTTCTGCTGATTTCTGTGCGCCTGGTATCTCAGATTTGAATTTAACGGTTTTCTGACATTTGAGCGGTGGAAAGTGGAGGCAGGAAATGGGAAAAAGTAGAGCGAAAAAGGAGAGCAGAGAAATACAAAGAGAAACGAGAAAAAAAGAGAATTTAAAAAAAGCAGCGACCTTCTGCTGATTTCTGTGCGCCTGGTATCTCAGATTTGAATTTAACGGTTTTCTGCCATTTGAGCGGTGGAAAGTGGAGGCAGGAAATGGGAAAAAGTAGAGCGAAAAAGGAGAGCAACGAAATACAAAGAGAAACAAGAAAAAAAGAGAATTAAAAAAAGCAGCGACCTTCTGCTGATTTCTGTGCGCCTGGTATCTCAGATTTGAATTTAACGGTTTTCTGTCATTTGAGCGGTGGAAAGTGGAGGCAGCAAATGGGAAAAAGTAGAGCGAAACAGGAGAGCAACGAAATACAAAGAGAAACAAGAAAAAAGAGAATTAAAAAAAGCAGCGACCTTCTGCTGATTTTTGTGCGCCTGGTATCTCAGATTTGAATTTAACGGTTTTCTGCCATTCGAGCGGTGGAAAGTGGAGGCAGAAAGTGGGAAAAAGTAGAGCGAAAAAGGAGAGCAACGAAATACAAAGAAAAACAAGAAAAAAAGAGAATTTAAAAAAAGCAGCGACCTTCTGTTGATTTCTGTGCGCCTGGTATCTCAGATTTGAATTTAACGGTTTTCTGCCATTTGAGCGGTGGAAAGTGGAGGCAGAAAATGGGAAAAAGAAGAGCGAAAAGAGAGAGCAACGAAATACAAAGAGAAGCAAGAAAAAAAGAGAATTTAAAGAAGCAGCGACCTTCTGCTGATTTCTGTGCGCCTGGTATCTCAGATTTGAATTTAACGGTTTTCTGCCATTTGAGCGGTGGAAAGTGGAGGCAGAAAGTGGGAAAAAGTAGAGCGAAAAAGGAGAGCAACGAAATACAAAGAGAAACAAGAAAAAAGAGAATTTAAAATAAGCAGCGACCTTCTGCTGATTTTTGTGCGCCTGGTATCTCAGATTTGAATTTAACGGTTTTCTGCCATTTGAGCGGTGGAAAGTGGAGGCAGCAAAGGGGAAAAAGTAGAGCGAAAAAGGAGAGCAACGAAATACAAAGAGAAACGAGAAAAAAAGAGAATTTAAAAAAAGCAGCGACCTTCTGTTGATTTCTGTGCGCCTGGTATATCAGATTTGAATTTAACGGTTTTCTGCCATTTGAGCGGTGGAAAGTGGAGGCAGAAAATGGGAAAAAGTAGAGCGAAAAAAGAGAGCAACGAAATACAAAGAGAAGCAAGAAAAAAAGAGAATTTAAAGAAAGCAGCGACCTTCTGCTGATTTCTGTGCGCCTGGTATATCAGATTTGAATTTAACGGTTTTCTGCCATTTGAGCGGTGGAAAGTGGAGGCAGAAAGTGGGAAAAAGTAGAGCGAAAAAGGAGAGCAACGAAATACAAAGAGAAACAAGAAAAAAGAGAATTTAAAATAAGCAGCGACCTTCTGCTGATTTCTGTGCGCCTGGTATCTCAGATTTGAATTTAACGGTTTTCTGCCATTTGAGCGGTGGAAAGTGGAGGCAGAAAGTGGGAAAAAGTAGAGCGAAAAAATAGAGCAACGAAATACAAAGAGAAACAAGAAAAAAGAAAATTTAAAATAAGCAGCGACCTTCTGCTGATTTCTGTGCGCCTGGTATCTCAGATTTGAATTTAACGGTTTTCTGCCATTTGAGCGGTGGAAAGTGGAGGCAGAAAATGGCAAAAAGTAGAGCGAAACAGGAGAGCAACGAAATACAAAGAGAAACGAGAAAAAAAGAGAATTTAAAGAGAGCAGCGACCTTCTGCTGATTTCTGTGCGCCTGGTAACTCAGACTTGAATTTAACCGTTTTTTTTAGTACGGGTATAAAACAGTTAAATGTAATAAGTGATTTTGGGATAATTTTCTGGGTTAATGATTTCGTCGTATACTTAATATTTGAAGCATAGCTTAGCGATAAATTTGAATATATATTTACAGAAATTTAGTTCGTTGAAATAATATTTTATAGCCAAGAAGATTTATTTATTTATTTTGGATGAAAAACTGTTCAAATATAAGAATGGAAAAGATCCCAAAAATTACACAAAGGGTAATCGATATATTTGCCCATAGTTCACAGGTTGTAACAATAAATACTCTCAAAGTATAATTTTTATTTGATATCTGTCTGCAATCTGTACATGGTACATACTTCAACCGAGCTAAGAATAATATTCGTACTATGAACTGAGAATCTACGAGTATGTAGAGCAAACCGGACTTCCTTTCACATGTTCGAACATATCCATTGGATATTCGAATTCCTAATTCGATTATCGTAGTACGAGTTGTATCTATTTTCAACTAAGAATGTATGAATGTTAATTTAAATTTAATTAATGATTAAATTTCATGCAGATGGGAATAAATATAATAATATAATATAATAAAAAAAATGAGAATAATAATATATATTCATATTTCTTTGTTTATTTCTTTTTTACTGCCTGTGGAATTATACGAAAACTTTGTTGACTCGTGTTGTGTATTATTATGGATACTCTCTGAAATGCACAGCAAAGCCCAGCCTAGGGTTAACGAAGTCGAACCATTTCCCCGTATAATCCAGCTTTCAATGGAGAGGAATAATGGCGAATAAAAGAATATCTTTCAATGGGTTTGATCCAATTGATTGATTTAAATACCCGTTGTCTGGCAGTGGCCACTAATGCGATGTGGATGTGAATGTGAATGTGAATGTGGCTCGTAGAATTGGGAACACATGCTGTCTCTGAATTGTTTTGTTGGCCAACATGCGGGCCTGACCATATTTGGAACAAGTTTCTTTTGAACTTTGACATGGCTAGCATGAGAGAGAGAGAGAGAGAGAGAGAGGGGGATAGAGAAAAAGGGCCTCGCCCTATTTGGACAGTGACAAATGTGTTCCACAAGGCCCACCCATTATGGATGCTCGCTGCTGCTGCTGCTGCTTGACTTATTGAAAATCTCACTTTTGACCTCAAAATTGGCTCAAGAATTGAAGAAATTTTAGTGTTTTTTTTTTTTGGGGAACTTTTCGACAGAGCCAAACGTCACCGACGACCCAAAATGCAAATTTCGATCTTGCTCTCTTCCTCTGGCTGGCTGGGCCAAATTAAGCCAAAGCTCGTAACTGAGTTGTGGGGATTTGAGGTTTACTGCAACTGGAATTGGAATTGGAATCGGAGTAAGAGTCAGAGTCAGAGTCAGCATCACCATAAAATTGGTAAAGAAAAGAGTCACCGAGTCCGAGTCCGAGTCCGAGTCGGTCAACGACTCGCCTACATGTGTGCAGCGCTGTCTTGCTGGATCCGTGGGGGATAGCGGGTTGGGGGCTGGCAGATACATAAATCAAGTGACTGGTCCGACTGATACATTTGCATACTTTAATAATTTGCCAATCGGCGTGCAGACGGGGCGACTGTGGCTGTGTCTGTGGCTGGGGCCCCATTCTTCTTTCGCCCCGTTCCCATTCCAAATAGAATTTCGCATCGTTATGTTTTCGGTTGCTAATGTCTTTTGTTTTTGCCTAATCTTTATACGAGCGATTTTTATGTGTCTCTCTCTGCCCGGCTGCCAGCTGGCAGGCAGGAACGTTCCACCCAATATAAAATGTCTTTGCTGGGGCACTTGTTGAACCATTTAATAGAGCCGCTCGCCCAGCGACACACCAGCAGACACAGCATCCACATCCATATCCACATCCACATCGCACTATGGCAATTAAGTTGGTCGCCCTTTTGGCCATTGGCCTGGCTCTGGTAGCCATCAGCGAAGGTAAGTCCAAGGGGGAAACCAAGCCAAGTTCTGTGCAGAATAAAATATATCCCATGGGAAATGTTCCATGGGATGATCCTTAGCTGGATTCAGTCCAGTTCCAGTGGAATTAACTGCAAGGACACACATTTAAATGTGCATTTATTTTCATCTTGCAGCTCGTCATGTGCCTGGCCATCGCTACCATCAGCGGCAGCAGTTCGAGCAGCGTGCCCTGATCGCCCCCAAGCCCCATGCTGGCCCCCAGGGTCGCATCTTCCCGGGCGCTGTGGCCATCAAGAAGCTGGTGCTGCTGAAGTTCAAGAAGATCGTGCCCATCTCCCTGATCCTGCTCAAGTCGAGCAACGAGAACGAGGCCGAGCTGGTGCCCGTCTACCCCACCGACCAGATACCCGAGAACGTTCAGTTCATTCCCACGCCCAATGGCATCTCCGGCCACAAGGACGTCCAGGCCATAGCCATTCCCAGCGAGCTGCACGACCAGCTGCAGATCAACGGCCTCTCCAACCTGGAGAACATCGAGGCGCTGCTCCAGAGCAGCTCCATCTCGTCCGCTGACTCCGAGGGAGAGTCTGCGCCCGTCGGCAACAGCATTGCCGTGGCCCAGCCCGAGGATCTGGTGCTCGATCAGCCCGAGAACGATGAGGATCAGCTGCTCGATGGTTCAGCAGCTGCCCCCGCACCAGTCCCAGCCTCGGCCCCAGCTGCAGTTGCCGCTGCGCCAGGCCTGCGTCGCCTGTCCGCCGATGAGCTGCTGCGCTCCGGCGTTCGCAACTCGGCCCATCTGCAGCAGACCAGCGTAGAGGAGATCCCCCTGCTGCTGTACTCCGCCAACGATGGTGGATCCTCCAGCTCCAGCTCAGGCTTCTCCTCCAGCCAGGGACGCCGCTATGTGGCCGCCACTCCAGCGCGTCGTCGCCAGCAGCAGTTCTACAACTGAGCAGAGCTCCACCTCCTCCTCCGCCTGCTGGCTCCCTAGGCTTAAGCACTTTCCCCGGCTTGGATACTCCGCCTCACTGCGCACTCCGCACTCCGCACTCCTCACTGGCTGTCACATGGGTTTCATTGTACTACTACTGGACACTTTTTTTTTTTTAGACTGAACTGAATATAAATTAACGTTATGAGCGAAATGACAAAAGGGGCGCGATGTGCCGGGGTCTCTGCTTCCGGGTTTTTGGCTGGTCTCCTCCCTCCCCCCTCCCTCCGCCCAGTGGTTGTTGGCCTTGTTTTCTGGCGCTTATCAGGCGAGTGCAGTTATCAGGGCTTTGTGCTGTGCTTTGTGCCGCTGACGTGACATGTCCTGTCTCGTGTCTCGTGTCGTGTGTCGTGTGTTTGTGTGTGTGTGTCTGGGCCTTAGAGTGTCCTCGTATGTGGCAGTCTGCCAGCTGCCAGCTGCCAGGCGGCACCCAAGCACCCAAGACTGAGCCCTAGACTATGTCTTTGCCTCTGGCTTGGGTCTGTTGTTGCCTGTTATAAATTTGCAGCCTGCCCCCGTGCCACAAAACACACACACACACATCTATAAACACATGGCTGGGCAGGGCAGGGCAGGGCAGAGCACATGTTTCGCTTGGGCGAAAAGTCAACGGCACAACGGCGCGGCAGAGGCAGCGGCAGCGGCAGCGGCTCAAAGAAAGGAAGCCCCACAACAAAAGGCGACAAAGATAGGCCAAGTGAGCCTTGCCCGTCTGCCAGGGCCATGGACAACGGCCATGGGATGCTCTAACGATAAGTCGTAGCACTTGGGATGCTTCTCTGCTGCTGTACTCCGCCTAGCTCTGGCTAGCTCTGGCTTCACATATTATTAATGATGAAATTAGCTGCTCAGCTGCGTTGATCCACTGCCGATAAGTCTCTCAAAGCTCCCACCACTTTTACACCTATCAAGGAACACTTTTTGGGGCTGGAATTTGCAGCTGTTTCCCCTTTTAGCCGCACTTCCCTCTCAGTTAGTGTGCTCCAAGCCTCATGCCTTTGCTAGGTGCAGTCAACTCCTGGCTACCCACTCCCCCACTAACCCACTCCTCCCTTTGTACTTCTCGTTTGTCTTGTCGTATGTCTTATTTGCCGCATTTTTGACAGCCCCTACAGAGGCAACGGCGCCTGCCACAAAGCTTTGCCACCCCACCCCAGCCCAGTCCAGCCCACCCCATCCACTCTCCATGTTGGAGATTATGCAAGCGTTTTTGGAATTAGCAAAGCCGAGCGGGAGAGAGGCAACCAACAAAAACACAAAGAGCGATATTACATGGAAACACATGGAAGGTACGAGTATATTCTGTGTGGAGTAGGGGGACAGGGGGACAGGGACTTAGCGGCCGTAGTAGGGCGGTGGCACATAGATGGTCACCCGCTTGCCATCGCTCCCCGCACCCCAAGCCCCTCCGCCAGCTACACTGCTGTTGTAGCGGCCACATGGCGGCGGTCCGTAGTAGGTGAAGGTGCAGACGGTGCAGCAGTTGATTGGCGTGGCCACCACCACCACGGGCGTCTTCTTGTTGGGCGGATACGGCGGCGGGTAGGGTGGCGGATAGGGTGGCGGATACCAGGGACGCTGCGGTGGTGGCGGTGGCGGCAACGGCTGTGGCCGTGGCAGAGCTCCCACTGGCGGCGGCGGGGGCATGGGTGGGTAGGCGGGTGGACCACTCGCAACAAAGGTCTCGCAGCACCGCTGGTCCTGGAAGGCCTCCAGCGTGCAGGGCGACACACACGAGTTGAAGAGTCCGCTAATCCAGTCGTAGATAACACCAAAGGTGCGCCCCTGCCGCTGGCTGCTGTCGAACGGCCCGAAGGCATCCACCGAGGTGTTCAGCGCCGTTGAACCCGATGCCACGGGCAGAGGATCACTTGGCCGCGTGGCCTGCTGCTCCTCCAGATCCTCCATACGCGATGAGTGATTGATGTAGACATACTCAAAGTTGTCGTTGATGCTGGTTGAACTGCTGGAGCTGCTGGAGCTGCTGCTGCGGCTGCTGCTGCTGCCATCGCTAAGTGGCGGACGCCAGCGCTGCAGTCGCACCTGTTGCTGGGCTCGATGTCTTACTGTTACGTTGCGGAGGGAGTGAAGAAGCGGAAAAGATTGATTTAATTTGGATGCAAGCCTAAAAGCAGGCTACACAATTTGTGCGCATTTTGTGGGATTTTCAAAGTGGCCAACGGAACATTAATTTGGAACTAAATGGGACAAACGGGGGACAGTTCAGAGCCCTGTTCCATAGAGATATTCATAATGAACACATATATGGGGGAACTATCAACACAGACTCAAGAACGAGTGAGAGGCTGCAGTGGCCGCGACTCTACTTTTATAGCCGTCTTTTATACCCGTACTATGTCAGTCCTGTGAGCTTATTATTTATGTGGAATTTTCAAATATGCTACATCTACAATGTAGATTATACATCTCCTCCGCCACAGGGCAGGGAGAGAGACTGAGTAGCGGCTGCAGCGCTGGAATGGGTTGGGTTAGCAACTAAAAATGAATCTCTTCGTTCTGGCTGTGATAATAATCCAATCTAAGATCGGAGATTTCTGGGCACAAGTCGGACAGACAGACATGATTATATAGACATGGCTTATGGCTTTATGTGGTCGAAAATGTGTCCACTTTGCCCACAAATCGAATGTGCCCCTCAACTCTTCGAGTATATAGAACGAGTACTTGTACAAAAACAGTTGCTTGAAGTGTGCTCCCATACAATTTGAACATGGAAATGTGCCAAGTGTTTCCCTTTCACCAAACTCCAACGCTAAATCAACAAATATCCAAACAGCAATCAATCCACGACTGGTGGGGTCTGTGGGCCAGTGCTCTCTGTGCTCCCAGTGCAGTTGGTGATTTAAAATTAGGAAATGCAGTTTTATTCCAGAGGTGCCTTGAGTGAGTGACAGTGCGGGGTGCGGGCAAACAAAGACAAAAAAAAAAAAATACAAAAAAAATACAACACAAATAAATGTTGCAAAAATGAACTTAAAACTCCCTGCATGGAGGGATCATCGGGGAACTAACGGCCAAAGAAGCCAAAGCCGCCGAAGGCGTTGCTGTTGGCATTGGCACCGCCGCCGCCGCCGCCGCCGAAGCCGTTGAAGCCACCGCCTTGGGCGCCCGCACTCGCACCGTTGCCACCGCCGGCGCCGCCGGCACTCGCATTGGCATTGGCATTGGCCGACTGCCCGTTCTGGCTGGTGGCCGAGGCGCTGCTGGAGGCCGAGTTGCTCACGTAGCCGTTGGGACCCGTCTGGGAGCTCGTCTGGGCATTCGTGTTGGCGGCGGCATTGCCCTGGCCGCCATTGCCCTGGAAGATGGACTGGCTGCTGGCGTCGCTGGTCGCGTCCTGCCTGTTGCCCTCGCGCACCACCTGGCTGTTGGTGTTGGCCGTGTTCGTGGAGGAGCCGAACTGGTTGTTGTTCGTCGCCGTTGAGCCGCTGTTGGAGCCGACCGTCTCCCGGTTGCCCTGCTGCGTGTGCTGCGTGTTGGCATTGGCGCTGGACGCCTGCTGCTCCCCGGGCTTGAAGTTGAGCGCCTGGCTCTGCGAGCCCTGCGTGTTGTCGTAGCCATTGGCTGTCTGGGTGTTCATCTGGTTGGTGTTCGCCGAGCTCACCTGCCCGCTGCTGCCGTCCTGGGCCAGGTTCGAGCTGATGCTGCTGGAGCCCGTGTTCCCGTTGCTGGCATGGTTGTTCGTCGACGCCTGCTGATTGAAGCCGGGTCCGCCCTGGGCATTGGCATTGCCATGAGCCTGCTGCTGCTGCTGCTGCTGCTGTTGCTCCCGCTCGCGTTCCCGCTCCCGCTCCTTCTCCCGCTCGCGTTCCCGCTCCCGCTCCTGCTCCTGCCTGTTCTTATTCTTCTTGCGATTCTGCTGCTGTTCCCGTTCCTGGCCAAAGTTCTCGTAGCCACCGCCGCCGCCGAACTGCGGTCCGCCGAACTGCGGTCCACCGAACTGCGGTCCTCCAAAGCCACCGCCAAAGCCACCGCCAAACTGACGACGCGGACGATCGAAGCCAAAGCCGGGGCCACCGAAACCGCCGCCAGGGTAGCCGAAGGGCACGAACTGGGCCCGCCGCTTGGGCCGCCTCACAGCCGCCTGCTGGGGCTGGGGCTGGGGCTGTCGCACCACACGCCGCTGGAAGGGACCGCCGAAGGTCTGGCCAAAGCCGCCCGTGTTGGCCGAGGTCTGGCCGCGGCGGGCCTTGCCCACGGCATTCGAATTGGCGCGGGTGTCGGTGACGGTGACGCCGCCGTATTGCTGGGTGTTCGTCTGGGCGTTGCTGTTCGATTTGACGCGCGCCCCCTTGCCCTGGGCATTCACCTGGGCCTGCGACAGCGTGTTCGAGTTGGCCACATTGCGATCCAGATCCAGGCTGAGCACTCCGAGGCCCAGACGCAGGTCCCCGTCCGCGCCGCGCTGCAGTCCCAGCCCCTGCTGCAGGTTCGTGGGCGACAGCGAGGCGCCCAGGCCCAGGTTGCCGATTCTGAACTGATCGGAAATGCCCTGGGAGACGGCGCCATTGGCATTGGTCTTGGTGCGGGTCAAGGTGTTGCCCAGCTGCAGGCCCCCGATGTCCACGTCGCGGTTCTGGGCCTGGCTGTTGGTCACCGTGCGCTGACCGTTCTGCCTGGTGACAGCGCGCGAATTCGCCAGTCCCTGGGTGTACTCCACATTGTTGCCGAAGTCCACCTGCCGCTCATAGGCGTTCGTATTGGCCTTGGACACGGATCCCTGACGCTGGCGCGGCTGCTGCTGGTAGAACTGCTGCTGTGGCTGTGGCTGCTGCTGGTAGAACTGCTGCTGTGGCTGTGGCTGGAAGCCGAATCCCGCGAACTGCGCCTCCGCTGTGTGGAGTGGAACAGAATGTCAGCCATCAGAATGAGCGGAAAGTTTCATAATTCCCCCTGACAGTTATCAAAAGTCAACAGATCCCTGGCTCTATGCATTCGTAATCTCTGGCACACCCACCCAACACCCAACCGAACCCAACCCCCCCAACCGCCACAAGGGAGACACCAAACAAAAAAATAAAAAATAAAATAAAAAAAATATTCTCCCAAACTTGTTCCACACGCGGTTTTTTTTCTTTTCTTTTTTTTGCTTTGCTTTGTCTCTCGTCTGGTTTCTTTTTGTTTCGCTTCTACTTTTTGGCTTAATGTTTCTAATTTGAATATCATTTGGTTTGTTTGATTTCTGCTCAGATTGTTATTCCACTTTTTTCCAGTTTGGCCAGAGGGTCGTGGTCGGGGTCGGGGAGAGGAAATATTATGGAATGGTATGGCAGGGGAAGTCTCTTTCTATAACACAGAACCGAATGGGATGGCTAGATGGCTAGATGTTGCTGCTGGCTAGAGAGAATCTCCGATTTGATGGCACATTGAACTGAGATCGAAACGGGTTGCTCTTTCAGTTATCTCGTCATGGAACAGCTTTGGTTGCTGTTCTGCTAAATAAATAGATGGGAAAGAGTGACAAGTTGACTTCTCTATGTGGGAGAATGGGCAGCTGCCTTTGAGTCGTAACTTTCCATCGATCTTGCCATCAAAAGATCTCTCTCTATTTTATAGAGCTATCCAAGTACTGCCTTTCTATTTATCCAACTACTCGCATGTAGAAGTGCCTAAGGGTTTCCTTTTTTCTATTAATTAAGTAAACATCTGCTAATAAGTAATGTTGGCTATTTATATACCAATCTAAATGAGATCTGTTATTAATGTAGCTAAAAATGTATTTGAATACAGGAAGGAATGCAGCACTTTCGCCATAGATATATCCCTAAATAAATCATTAATTGCCGAGCAATACCCATGCCTATTTCTATACTTTAAAGCGCACATCTAATACTTAGAATGTGCCTGCAAAAAAGTATTCCTAAAAATATCCTGGCTTGTCTATACCCTGAGCTACTTGCAGATCTATCTTGTATGCTTCCATTACTATTATTATTACTATTAAAGATAGGGAAGTTTACCAAACTTGGCTAGCTAGGAGGTGCAGCGCTAACTGCGAGGCCTTCGGCTACACTTCCATTATGTTTAATTCTATATTCCAATCTGCTAAACCTTCCAAATATGTATACAAATATATATCCATAACTCTTTTATATGCAAACATCACACAGTCTACCCCGCAGGCAATGTTCCACTGTCCTCTTCCAATAATTAGATCTCATAATGAAGGTGCCACAAACATTGGATAACGGTTAAGTCAGGTAGGGGTAGGCATAAGCCTTTTGCTTCCCTTTTATCCTTTACTCCCTCCCTCACTCCCTTCTGTTGGCTCTCTTTTTTGGCTGCCACTTTCCCCCTGCTGCTGCTGCTATTGCTGCTGTTGACAATGCATCGCACGTACGCGCAAAATCCAGCGATAATTTTGCAATTATTGCTGTAATAACAAAGCCCAAAGCCAAAAGCCCTATGTGTCAGTCGTCTGTCAGCTCGCCCAATTCGTCAGTATGTGTGTGCTTGTGTGTGTGACACAATGTGTGTGCGTATCCTGTCATTATCCTGTCTATGATGGCCAATGCCAATGTTCTGTCTTTCGCCTTTTCGCCAAAAATATTTACCTTGCGGTTGACAAACTGCCAGCCAGCACACAATTAATCCAACAAATGCGACACGCATCCTCATCCTGGCCATGTCTCGTCGTATCTCTGGTATTTCGTATTCCGTATTCCGTATCTTGTATCTCTCTCTATGTGGTATGCCCACACACTCTCCAACACTGGCTGACTGCCTAGCTGACTGCCTGGCTAGGTGGATGGCTAATTTTCCGTTGCACGTTGCGAAAACAGCGCACACGCAATGAGCGCGTTTTTGGCCGCTGGCCGACTTTTATTGTGTCTGCCCCCGTCTGTTTTTGCGGTCTTCTCGTTGTTGAAACGGGTCGAAACTTTAGTATTTGTTGCCTCTATGCTTGTTGAGATACTCAACTCTTTTTTTGTGTGTGTGTGTGTGTGTGTGTGTGTGTGTTCTGTTTGTTTTTTTATTCGGGGCTTTTTTTTTTGTATTCCACCGTTTGGTTCACTTAAAGCCGCAGGTGCGCTGCTGTGGCGGCTGGCTGGCTGAACGTTTGATAGCGTTCTAAACTCGCTGCCGGTTTGGTAATCGGGCTTTAAACTAATCAACAATTAGCGCCAACGCACGTCAACAAATATTGCTTATATGTATGTACACGAGTAAATGCCTTCCAATATTCCAAATTTCGTGTTTAACCCGTTTCCCCCCGACACAACACAACACAACAGGCGGCAAAAATACATCGAGGGGATGAGCCATAAACACAAACACTTTTGATAATCATCTTTGCCTTTTTTTCCTCAACTTAAATCCGCTCTGAAGGTTTCGATCGCGGGTTCAGAACAGTCCGAACATATGCTCGAATATCCATCGAAATTATAACTATTTTATAGGGGGATTTTTGCTTGGGAGAAAGGCTTCTATCTCGTATTACGGGCATGTGGAATACATTTGAATCACTTAAGCCTTGGGCTGAGGCTGGGAGAAAATCAAATGCTTGCCAGAGAAAGTCCAGCAGAAAACCAGCCCCCGCCCCATCATGAGTTGAATGAATGATCACTTGAAGATGGTTTTCGTACACATAAGAGCCATATAAATATTACATTAAATGCTCATTTTAATGAGCAAAACAGCTGATGAGTAGTGCATCACTTGGGCAGTTCCCATAGTCCATCTACCATTCATTTCTGGTAGTTGTTTCCACTTCATGGTCAAGTTTTTAACGTTCGAATTGGCGCTGCGCATGAGGCCTCCCCAACGTCAATGTACGCCCTGTAGGTCAGTTGAAGACAATCAGATGGGGAGCAACCCCCTTGCCCATCACCAATCCGTAGAGCCCCAACTTCGCTTTGGCATTTGGTCAGCGAACAGACAAACAAATAGAAGACCAGCAACAAAAATACCAAAAACCTGCTCAAACTTTGAGCTCTTATTTTCTCTAGTGATTAGCGTATTTTATTGGGTTTGCTGATGGGGGGCAGGAGAGTGGCTGGAGGAGCACCAAAACCTGTACTGTAGCCAGAACAATTTCTGCCAATCCATTCTTAAGCGAATCAACGCTGTAGATACTCAGTTTTTTGTATCTTTTATGGCCCCGCTGATGTGTGGATTCCCTTCATGAATTAATTGAGATGCTGAGACGACAAAAACCAAATATGAATTTTCAGTCATTATTGCTAATGATGTGATAGTGAACCCCTCCACTCCCCACCCCTCCGATACGATCCGGGAACCACTTCGTTCGCTCAGGGAGTTTTGAGTGTGCAAATCGACATTTGTTGGTGTGCACTGCAAGAAAAAGGCAGCCAACGGTAACAGCAACAAGGCCAATAAATTGGGTCAATACCCACACACACACACAATCGTGCACTCAGGAAAAACTTTCGCCAGAGACTGAGTGAGAGAGAGACAGAGAGAGAGAGAGAGAGGAAGAGATAGACGGGGTTCAGTTCGGTGTTCGATATAAAAAATTGGTTTTTATTGTTATTTCATTTCTACCGTTTATCGGTCTGGCGGCATCTTTACGCTGACGATTCTTTCTCCCCATCACCATCCCCATCCCACTGCCACTCGCTCCCTCCAATTTTCTCTCTCTCTATTTTTTGGTGCTCCTCCTTTACCCCTGAGTGATTTTCCCCCCATTCTGGTAGCCGCCGCTCTGCTCAATGGCGCTGCCTTGAACGCGTGAAATGGAGTAGAAAAATTGTTTTTCTATCAAAGGCAAAATATCGCAGCAAACTCTCCAACATTTTCCCCCGTAACCTCATGCCGCCCACCCCTCTACGATTCCAGTTGTAGCTGCCCCCTGATGGTAGCAACAATCGTTGGTGTATTTTTTTTTTTTTTTGGTGATATAGTAGCGATTTTTATACCCGTACTCAAGAAGAGTTAAGGGGTATATTAGATTTGTGGTAAAAGTGGATTTTTGTAACGCAGAGAAGGAAACGTTTCCGACCCAATGTCTGTCTGTCTGTCTCGATGAGCGCCTAGATCTCAGAGACTATAAGAGCTAGAGCAACCAAATTTTGTTTCCAGACTCATGTGATATCACACTGCTACAAATATATTTCAAATATATTTCCCCGCCCCTTGCACGCTTTTTTTAAAATTCCACATAAATCATGAGCTCACATATTTATTTACTGACTGAGTATTAAGTAGTATTATTAAAGTAGAGTCGCGTCCAAGGCAGCGACTCACACGTTCCTTCTCGTTTTCTATCAATTTAATGCCCACAACTTTGCTGGACACGCGGCTTTAGCTTTTTGTGAACTTTTGTTGCTGTTGGCTGAAGAGGTCACTGCAGCGGGGAGAAGAAATAGGTGAAGTGGGAGGGGTGGGGGTGGTGGTGGCATAAGGTCTGCTGGTCTGGTTTTTGGTTTTTGGTTTTTTTGGCTCAGATTCGAGGTTTTTTCTCTCTCTCTCTCTCACTCGTGCAACAATTCTGCCACTGATGCCACTTGTCCACTCCAACGATACAACGATACTGTCTGCTGGCTACCGACTTTGATTTGTGCTGCTAATTGGATTTTCATTTCCTCCAGAGAAGCCACCACTAGGATTCGGTGCAGAATGGAGGAATAGAGTAAGGGATATAGAGAGCTGCATAGCGCTGAATGTTGCAACTTTTGGTAGCAGTCCGCACTTCATTCCACTTCTAATTTTATAAATTAATTGAAATTTTGTGTGTTTCCATATGATTAAATATTTTATTTTAAAATCATGTGACCCTCTAAGTTTGAGCAATAATTAAAGTTCCCCGGCGCTGCCTTTTTCCGCCAAAGAGTTGGATTCAAATGAATTTTTCGGAGATGTACTCTGGCATCTGAGGAGCGAAGCGCTCGGTGAAATAAATAATGAACTGGAATATATAAATAAATAGCATACAACAATTTGGCTATTTAATCTGTACAGATGTTGCAGTATTCCTTTACCTTATAGCTGCTTATAGCTGATAAGCATCGTACTCCAAATCTAGCATTTCTTTAACACCTTTAGAGGCACTTCAAGCTTCGAAATAGCTGGCATATTGCTGTGTATTGTGAACTTCAAACTTCAAGAAGGTTGCTTTGGGCTAGTGCTCCTTGATTCCTGTTGCCACTTGGCAGCGCCATTTCCCAGCTCATTGTTTATCACTTTTGTGTCTCTCAGATACTTTCTTTTGTCGGCAGCTCGCTTTTTCTGTTGTTTTGTTGCTTTGTTGTTGATGAACATTTTATGATAATTTGTTTTGACAAATTTTTTAAGTTGTAAATTTTGTTTGCACATAAGCAGAGAGCGGTGAGCAGAGAGCGGTGAGCAGAGAGCAGCGAGCGGAGAGCAGAGAGGGAAGATACTCAACTCGTACAATTACACTGGCAGAGACAGAGGGGGACATATGTAGATGCAAAGATACAGATACATTGTGCATTCAGTGAGCCATATGTTTGTCTAGAGTTGCCACACTTGCATGCAGCACACACACGCACACGCACACATACACATATGCTTCCGCTCAGTGTGCTTCCTTGTTCTTGTTCTTTGGGGTGAGCTGGGAGCTGTGTGTGTGTGTGTATGTGTTTGTTTTCAGTTTACTTTTGCCGCGTCTGCATTGCGTCTTTTGTTATTATTACATTTTCATAAATGCAAAAGATACAGATACACACACACACACACACACACAGAGAGAAGAACTCGTTGATAAATTTTGTAAAGTTTTGTCTGCCATGCGGCTCGTTAGCTGCCTCTGTCTCCGTCTCTGTCTCCGTCTCCGTCTCTGTCTCCGTCTCTGCCCCCTGGAGCTGTTGCAGCAGGAGCTCCACCCTGTGTGTCCGTGTCCTTTCTGTGGCTTCACTTGTCCCTCTATCTGCATGCTTGGTTACACAACCACCCTGCACACCCCCCACCTAGCCACTGTCTCTGTCTGCGTCTCCGTCTCCATCTCCGTCTCTGTTTTATACGCATGAAAAATTGCTTCCCAGTGCAACGTTGAAATAAGATATTTCAATTTTGTATTGTAATTTCAGAACTTAAAATGTAATTTTTGAACACATAAGGGAGTGGAGTCCATTGTGTGTAACCCCAACCACAGGCTCCCCAACCCCCATATCCCTTATCCCTTATCCTCCTTTTTTTGTTTGTGGAAATAAGCTTTTCCTGGCCGCCTTCCTTTTTTTTTGCTGCCATTTTCTTTCACCATTTTCAACTTGTTCTTCTAACTTCTTCGAAACTGAACGCGGCAATGGCAACGGCGACGGCAACGGCAACCCTTGCGCAATTGTGTCTGCTCTGTGCGGATAGACGGTTCAATATATAAGCCAGACAGAGACACATCCACATCCACAGCCCCAAACAGAAAGCCGCCACTGCTACACCGCTCCACCGCTCCACAGCACCACCCTTCCACCCAAGGGTCTCTTTCTCCGTTTCTCCGTTCAATTGTTGCTTCTCTTTGGGAAATTATGCAAACAGGCTAACAAAAAAAAGAAACCTTGGTCGGGGGTTGACAGGAATGAGATGTCTTCCGCTTGGCTCAGTTTTTGCCTTGTAATAAAGTAGCAACTGCACCACACACCCGGCACCCCCATAGCCCATAGCCCATAGCCCATAGCCCATACACCACCTGCCTGACCCACCTCGTTATAACTGCATAGGCGGCACTTTTTATGCCCGCTACCCTGGGACCCTGGGAGCCAGCAATAGGCTGGGCTGGGCTGGCTAGGGTCACCGTCAACGAACGCAATAAATAATCTGTTTAATCTGCTACTCAATGTAAGGATGAGCAGACGAAATGACTCCAATTCAGAGTTTAAATAAATAAATAAAAGAAAAAAATTGATTAATAAATTAAAAATATTAAATAAATTAAGCATATAAATAAACTTAAATAAATTAAAATATTAAATAAATTATATTAAATAAATTTAAGATATTAAATGTATTAAATAAATTTAAAAATAATTAAATAAATTAGATAAATTATCAATATATAAATATATAAATAAATTAAAATATTAAATAAATTAATAAATTAAAATATAAATATAAATAAATTAAAATAAATAGTTTAATAATTTAAATATATTAAATAAATTAAAATATTAAGTAAACAATAAATTAAAAATATTAAATTAGGTGGATTGTTGGCCATTAATGGAGACCATCAAGCAGCTGGATCAGCTCAAAGTTTCGACTCTTCAAGCGCTTTCATGGGAGCAGTTTATAGATCCCTCAAGAGATAGCTCCATATATGTAGGTAAGTACCAACTATTGGAGTGAGTCGCGATTCGGTGCTTAAAGGTATTATCTGTATATCGGTGGAAGTCGATGGAACTCCATCATCGTCTGGCATCCGTGGACTGTCAAGGGTGACCTCGGTGTCGACTCTTCGCGGCAGTTACACGTTAACTATTTTATGGATGTGTGTGTTTGTGTGTGTGTGGGGAGCGGGTGGCAAGCATTTCTGGGGCTGCCGCCTTAGGGCTGCCTGCTTCGGCTCAAGTTTTTGGCAGCGCTTAAGAACTTAACACACAATGCCAAAATGTGCAAGCAGGGAAGAGAAAGGGAGCAGCAGCAGCAGCAACAGAGGCAGCAGCAACTTGCCACGCCCCCTGGCATAGCACACGCAAAAGTTTCAGTAGTCAGGCGACCTCTACCCACCACCCCCAGCCCACAGCCCACAGCCCAGAACAGCAGCAACACCAGGGAACCCAAGTCCCAGTCAGCAGGCAGCCCACCGCCTTCTTCCACCTCCGATACCAGTGCCCCTTCCCCTTTCCCATGCCCTTTCCCATTCCCATGCCCTGGCAAGTGACAAAGCTGGCAACGTCGTGTGTAGTAGGAAATGAGCCAAATTATGGCAAATTGTTGGCAAAAGTATTTAAAATGAGTTTATTTTCGAAATAAAAACTTCTGGTTGAGAACTTGCTTCTCTCTCCTGGGGTAAGATGTAGCTGGCTGTGTGATTTGCCCCCACCACACCACACCACACCCCACCCCACCCACTAGGTGCCGCATCGTGCATACGAGTACTCGTAATCGTAATCGTAGTCGCACTCGTACGATGTCAATGCTGCTGATGCTGACGATGAGACAATAATGACAGAAACATTACCAAACTCACATGAGACAATTAAAATGCCATTAGACAGGCAACTGAATACGAGTAAATCTGAATCTGAGTGTGAATGTGAATGTGAGTATGAGTGAATCAGTTGAGTCGAGTTCGAGTTCGAGTTTGAGTGGAGTTAAGTGAGTAAATGGATGGCCTCTAAAACTATGGAAACTCCAAAATTTTAAACACAATTGGAAAGAAATGCAACAACAAATTAACAACAGATTTGGGAAAATCTAAAGCTAAATTAAACTAATTTCCATGCACATATTTCTGTAGCTCTGTACAGATATTACTTTTAAACTAATTTAATTTAATGCTAATTTAAACAAATTAAATATAATTTCATAATTATAACAGCAGAAGTTTATTTCTTTTTTTTTTAATTTTAAACTTAGTATTAATAAAAGTTCTTTTACAAATTCTCTTCTGCAGATTCTACTAACTGAAAAAAGTCCCAGAACAATCTCCCAAAATCCCCAAAATAGTTAATTTCATTAATCCAAGGAATATTTGATTTGATTTTTCCCATGGGACATATTTCGTGCAAATATTAAATTAAAATAAAAAAGTATAAATAATTGTTGGGTTAAATCAAAACCATTTTAACGCCAAACTAAACTCCAAATAAATTCTGAGGCATGCAGATCAGTCCATCTACATGCTCAGGTTTAAAACAACGGAGTAGATGAAAACCAGGACACCAAAAATAGTCCACAAATCGGTACCGATTTATTCAGTATTTATTCCCATCAATTTATGCTTCATAGACACAGCCCCACAGATGCTGCTGGATGGTCCGGTCCGGTGCACAAGCAAGCTGCACACTTAATGCTAAATACTGAATAAATATGAAAATATTAGCATGCATTCAGTGGATTCAAGATAAACTGTGCTCTAACAGCTGGAGGGGGGATGCCAGTGAATGCATTTTCGTGTGGCTGTCATCGCTCATTAATCCATCTGTGAGACAAATTACGCACCCACTTGTGCCACTCTTGAATGCGAATGAATTCAGTAACTACACACACACACATCAGTGAGTGCCCACACTGCCCAATTACGGTCAGATATTCATACACACCCACCCACACACCCACACACCACACAATGGAGCAGCGAGCAACGAGCAACGAGCAGAGCAACTCGTTGACAAGTGACTCGCCAACTGTGTTTCACACACATTCGAATATGTAGGGGAGCAGCATCAGCATCCGCATCAGCATCAGCATCCCAAGCCAGACCAAGACAAAGACCAACAGCAGTCTGAACCCAAGCAGGGAAAACCACACAATTATGACTTGTCTTGGCTGGGTCCCATGGCTGTCTGCCCCTCCCTCTTTGCGGAGAACAAGCGACCTTAACTCTAAAACAAAAATGTTGAAAACCTAACAACAAAATGTAAATCCTTTCAATTGAAATGTTACATCCCAGCCAGGAAGCACCCACAAGGGGCATTCCAACTGGGAGAGTGGAGTGTGGAGTGTGGAGGGAGGAGTGTGGCTCGAAGGAACTTTGGCTCGTCAGCAGCTTTTGCTTGTTTGCGCTCCTAAGTTATTGTTACTGGTGCCAACTGGCTTAGCGACTCGACTCGACTCGACTTCGTCTTCCAGGGCCCCTTCATCCCTCCACGGGCTGAGTAGATAGTCGTTGGTTAGTCCTTTGTCGAGTGCGTATGCTTCATATTTTCCATTTGTGTGTGTGTGTCTGTGAGTGTGCCACTGTCTCTTTATGCTACGAGTATTTCGATACCCAAACCCCACTCTCTTCCTCTCCTACTTGGATTGTGTGCGTGTGTCAACTGTGGCACTGGCTTAAAGTTGCGCGTGGATTTGTTAGCTAATTCCATGGCAAGACATTAGCATAAAATTGTGCACATAAAACGCCACTTCTGGCTGGCTATGCTCTGCTCTGCTATGCTCTGACCTGCTCACAGCTCTTCTCATCTGATTCGCATTCTCCAGCACCTATCAGCATTGTTCTGTTGTGGCCTGTTGTTGGTTTATCAGTGCCAAAACTCATGTGGCATCCAGCCCATCAACAGGTGCAAAATTTCTAGAATTTCGGCAAGTTCTTCAACTGAATAATTATTCACAGTTTGAATTGATGCTTCGGCCAAAACAATTTATTTCAAGTATTAAGATATAGAAACAAACTAAAAGAGAGTTCAAATTTTGATGGCGAAAAATAGGGCACAACCTGGCGACGGAATGTCATCTGCCATCCCCCATCCGGTCTCGCTTCCAGCTGCTTCGTTCTGGCCTAACATTATATTGTTGCAGTGCGATCGATGTCAGGAAGCGAACTGGCAGCGCCTTAAGCCGCTTCTGCCTGAAAGCATTATTATTACACTTCCACGGGCGACTACTAACGGAACACTTACGGTATGGAGTGGTTCCTCCTCTTGATGGGTGACAGTGCAATGGTGCGATGGTGCGATGGTGCGATGGAGCGATGGTGCGGGCTGTGGCCTGTTGCTGCTGCACTAGCAACAAAAATTTTAAATATAAAATAATGGAAATGTTTTTAAATGAACAATTAAATTTTTTTTTTGGTTGGGTGTCGGTCGGCTAAACGTCTCGAGCATCTGGCGGCGGATCCGTGCTCGAGTCCCACTCGTTCGGGTTGATGAACATCTGAGAGGCACTGCCGCGCAGGGAGTCAAAGCCCTGGTTGAGGGGCACGGGCTTGGGCCGCTTGTCGATGTTGGCCATCCACTTGGACCAGGCCCCCTCGGACCGCTGCAGCCGCTCCTTCCTCTCCTGCTCCTTCTGCTCACGCTGGCGTCGAGCGCGATCCCGCTCCTGCTGCTGCTGCGCCACCTTGCGGCGCTCCCACTCCTTGAGGCGCTCTCTACGCTCCTCCGCGGTCTCCTTCTGGCGGCACCCTGCGGCGCTAGGGACAGGGCCAGGGCCAGGGACGGATGTGCAGGACTTCTTCTGGATGAGCGTGGACGTGTTGTTCCGCTCCTGCTGCTCCTGCTGCTCCTTCCGGAGACGCCACTCCCTGACCTGCCTCTGAGACTGCTCCAAGCGCTCGGTAGTCGCCCTTTCGCGCTTCTCGCGTTCCCGCTTCGCGGCCAGAATCTTCTTCTTGCGCTCCTCCGCCTTGCGCTGCTTCCACGCCTCGAACTGCAGGCTGTCGCGATCCTTCTTCTGGGCTTCGAGGCTCTTGAACCCGGTGGAAACGTGCGGGCTGCAGCTCTCCAAGTTCAGAGAGGGCAGGAAGTTACTCCCACCCTCCGGTGCCTCGAGGACAGCGGCATACGCGTCACTCCAGCTGCAGAGGGACTCCCTCGCAGTGTCCGGGGTGCAGCTGCTGCTGGTCATCAGTTCGCGATCTTCGCTGGCCTCCATGTCCTCTGGTGTTTCACTGCTCAGGAGGTAGGTCCTGCAGCTGTTGTAGGACTTCAGACTGTCGGTGGGTGAAGCCCCTCCCTGGATGAGGGAGGACTCCGAGAGGTCCCTGCAATCGCCGATAGATGCGGCCGGTACAAGGGTCCCTGTCTCACTTCGCCAATCCTCCTGGCAGCCCGACTTATTGCCATCCTCGAGGCCGAGACCTGCCAATGCATCTTCCAGTTCCCCTTCCTCCAGTTCCCGGCAGAAGCTCGCCATAGTTTCGGTTTCGGTTTCGGTGTCGGTGTCAGTGTCCAGGAATTCACCAACATCCTCTCGATTGCCCACAAGGGTGCAGGATGATGAGTCTGTGTCCGTGTCGGCATCTGCTACGAGTGGAACGAGAGTGCGATCGGTGATCGGTCCCGCAGTCGACTCCTCCGAGTCGCTCAGGTCGCTCAGGTCGCTCAGGTCGCTCATGTCGCTCAATTCGGGCAATTGACGGAGGAGTCCACTTGTGTGAGAGCCCGACAGCTGCTTGCGATCCACCACCTTGCCCCTCGGGTTCTGTCGTGCCATAAAAGCCATTCTGCAAGCCTGGATTGCCAAATTAGCTCAGTGGGAGAGAGCTGTGGGAAAAGTGAAATTATTTTACTGCTTTCCAGAATATCTGTTGTGTTGCTTATGAGTGCCTGAAATAGACTAAGGATCGAATGACGTGACGCGTGCTGTATGACCCAACACAGGTCTCAAATGGTACTAGATGCTGGCTGGCTTTTCTCAGTGTCAAAGTGACATCAAAGTTCAAATATTTAACGCTCATTCTGTACACTTTTGCTGCTAATAGTATCGATTACCGATAGGCATAGTATTCACTTTACGGGGCTCGGAAACACTTTGCTCTGTGTGTGTGTGTGTGTGTGTAATTATTTTGGCATCTACTTTATTTCGTGTACATTCGTTTCAGCTCCAATGATGAGCGATTAATTGTGGGACTGGGTTTTACTAGGTTTAAGCTTAAGGTGTCCTTGTGATGTCTCCCCACTGACGGGCTCTGCTCCGTTCGCTCTCCGCTCCTCGCCTCCTCCGACTGCTGCTTTGTCTTGTCTTGTCTTGTTTTGTTTTGTTTTGTTTTTTTTCCTTGGCTCTTTGGTTCTTTGGTTAGGGTAATGCTGAATCAACAAAGTTGTCAACTTGGACAATCCTTGGAGCCTTTTTGTCGAGTGTTTGCCTGAGCCTAGCGATTGCTTCTCCTTTGTCTGCTGGTTTGCCTACACTTTTACTCCCCCCGCCCACGCCCCGCCCCACCACATTCTTTCTCTCCATTACATTCTCCTTGCCTGTCTCAGAGGCTACAAAAACTCAGCGTGAGATAGTTAATTTGTTTTCACTTCAGCAACAAGAATATCATCGTCATCCAAGGTTCTCTTGCTCTTCCCACTACCCACCACCCCCACTCACTATCCCTGTCCCGTTTCGGCTCTGTGTCTGTACCACTTTTGGCTCATTTATTTTCAGTTTGACGCCTGAGCGCTGCTTATTTGCACAACAATAGACAGCAGCAGTGAGAGAGAGAGAGAGAGAGAGAGTGGGGAAGAGTGGCTGGGTGGCTGGGTGGTAAGGCTGAGGCTGAGGCTGGTCTGCTGGTCGGACAAAGCACAGCTGGGCTGCCCAGAGGGTTGCATGCGAAGTAGCCGCTGTCAAACTTATCAAATGGCGACGCGAAGCAGAGAGAAAAGATTGCATAAATGAAGACAACACAAGGGTGTGGCCAGGGAGGCGTAGTAGTGTGGTGGCAAAGGCAGTTGACAACTGCAAAACAAAACAAACAAAAAAAAAATAAAGAAAATGGTAATGGGTGTGGGTGGGGGAGGGATAGGGGGAGGGTGATGGGTAAAATTGTCACAAAGCAAAATTAAAAACGCAAAAAAACAAAAGACAACCAGCAGAATGAGATGAAGAAGGAGGAGTAGAAGTAGGAGGAGCAGCAGGAGGAGTTGGGGAATCTTCCAAGGAGAGCCAACGACTAGTGCTGGCAGGGCGGGGGGGAGAGTTGTAGCTGCAGCAGGGACCTGCACACAGTGAACTTAAAATATAATAATTGTGTACAATATTCGGTAATTATTTTGTAATTATTAAATACAAAATATTTTAAATATTTAATACAATTAAAATATTTAAAATTTCGTCTGTCAATTTGCCGAGAGCTGAATATAATTTTTTGCAAGTGCACAAAGGGCTGAGGGGTGTTAGGAGGCAGAACTGTGGCTATGGCTGGGACTGGGGCTATGGCTGGGACTGGGACTAGGACTGAGGCTGGGACTGAGGCTGGGACTGGGTACTGGGTACATCAACTCAAAAATGTGGAGCAAGTTGCAAGCAAAGTTGTTTGGCAACGACAACAACAACAACGACGACACGGAGAGTCCTGTCCAATCCTGTCCAGCGGGGCAGGAGAACTCCCAAAATATTGTCACCCGTTGGTGGCCCGTTGGTGGCCGGCCTGCCTGTCACGGCTGGCAAATGTTTCAATTTGGCATTTTATCCCAGCGACAATTGTTGTGCGCTGTTGTTGCCACCACTGTGGGGCAACGTGGCTGCTGCCTGTGTGCTGCCTGCCACCTTGGCAGGCTGTGGGGGGAGGGTGGTAGTAGGCTGACATATTTTAATTAAATTGTTTGCGGAGCCACTTGGGCTCGGCCTCGGCTTTGGGGCAAGTGCCTGGCCCCGGCCGAGGGACGCTGCCCCAAACTCATCAACACTTTATGAAATGGATTTATTATCCAGGAAACGGCCTTCAAGGGCGACGGCACTACTTACAAGAAAGGTGAGGCACTCGGGGGGTGGGTGGGTTGTGTGTTTGCGTTTCGCTTGCGTTTGGGGCTTTGCCCCAAGATCAAGTGGGGTCAGAGGGTGGCTGGCACTGGCTAATACCAATTATGATTATTTTTAATAACTTACTTTGGCTGAGAGCTAACGCTGACTGTATCTGGAAGTAGCTGCAAGTAGCTGTGGCTGCTCGAAACTCTTCTTTGGCGTGTGCTCACTGGTGTCTGGGTGGGGTATGCCTTTGCCCCTGGCTGTATTTCGTTTGAATATATTTCTGTGCTGTTCATTTGCTGAGTCTAAAGTAGATTGTTGCTTTGGTTCCGATTGTCTGTACGGAGATCTGTCCACTCGCTCATGTATTTTACGTCGCTTTTGTGGGCTGTGAGCATTCGGCTGTGTGCTTAATCTTGGAGCATGTGGGGAGTGGAAGCTGCTCTTCTGCTGCCTTTGGGCTGCCTTCTGCACCATTTCAAGTTTTGTTCTCTTCTCTCTCAGGCCGTCTGTCTGCCTGCCTGTAATTCTTCTCTCTGTGTTTTCCCCTGCCTGCATTCCCATTGTTCCCGTTACTCCACACAGAACTCGCCATCTCATTCGCACTTGGCACTCGTCACCTTGCGCTCGCTCTAACATTTCTCGCTCTCTACTCGCTGCTCTCTACTCGCTGCTCTCTACTCGCTGCTCTCTACTCGCTGCTCTCTACTCGCTGCTCTCTACTCGCTGCTCTCTGTTTGTGGTCGTTCTCCTCTCACTTTTCAAACATTCTCCTGCTCTGTGGCTGTTATTCCATTGTGAGTGTCTGTGTGTCTGTGTGTGCTTTTGGTTGTTTCTGGTAATAGATCAATGAGATAACGGATATTTTATTATGCACACAACCAAACAAAAGCCGTGCAGGCGCAAGCCAACACTCGACCAAATATTATGAGAGAATTACGAGAGGTCCTGGTCCTGGTGGTGGTCCTGGTGCTGGTCCTGGTCCTGGCCCATCCTCCGCAGCTCTCAATTTTAATTATGCACTCGCATTCAGTGCTAAATTTTGGACTATTCAAACATTTTGCCGCTGGCCGCTTGCCACTTTTGGCCAACAATTAAAAAGCTACGCGTGCTGGGGCCAGCGAACGGGATGATGGTGTGGGTGGGGTGCAAGGTTGCTGTTAAATTTGTTGGCTTTTGCGATTATTTTATGGCCAAAAGTGTAATAAACAGCTGAAAGCACAAAATTCCACCGATTGCATTTGCCGCCCACAATCCACTCCGCCTCGATCCACTGCGGGGCCTAAGTCTGATTTGTTGCAATTGAATGAAACTCAAAAATAGATTTAATCAGCCGCAACACCAACAGACAAGGGTAATTTGTGCAGACAATTTCTTTGGCCATCCAAAACAAATCCAAGATAAACTATCCCCCCATGGGAGATCTTTTTACAATAAAGTGTGCATATTTTTGCACATGTTTTTAATACCCAAAAGCGAGTAACAAACTTTGATAGGATGCGGAACAAAGTCCCAGCTTAATTGGTTGCTCAAAGACACAACTTTGAGGGAGGCGCAAAGAGGGGGATGACTGGGGGAAGCAGTTAAGATAAATAAACAATGCAAAATACTGCGACAAAATACAAAAATAAATAAAAAAAATAAAAAAAAAAAAAACCAAACGAATGAAGAAGAGACCGAAAGCTGAAGCGAAATGATTTTCTAAGTAAGTGCAAATTGAGTTTTAATTAAAATGTAAAAATAAAATACACAGCAGCAGAGCTCACAAAGACACTGGCCAGGGGAACGGGACGCTGAAGGACACCCAATGGGATGGGGCTGGGGCTGGGGACGGGGCTGGCAACACTCAAAAATATATAGAAATAAATAAAACAAAAGCAAAAAAGCAAAAAAAAAAAAAAAAACGAGCAAGAAAAATAATTAAAATTTCGTAAAGTAAGTTGGGAAATGTTTTCTCGCCTCTCTCGTCCTGTGACATCTGCTCGACAGTCGCTAACTGTTTGAGACTGTTTTCCCTGTGCCTCTTGCTGCCATGCCATGCAACTGGAACTGCCCTGCCGCTTGCTGGTTCCCCTGCTGCTGGAGGAGTTTCCCCAATTTTCTAGCAACATAGCAGAGCAGAGCAGAGCAGACCCGCAGCCCCCCGCCCGTTACGTGCCAAAGTATTAGCACTCTCTAAGCTCGCAAAAAGCGTAAATGTCACAATTCCATTTATTTTTCGTATTTATATTTCCTTCGACTGGCCATGCCCACTTAATGGCCGCCTCCGCCCAACTGCCACGCTGTCTCCCTTTTCCTTGTGGCCCTCTATCATTTGGCTGCCTTATCAGCATATCGCACATCCCCATCCCCATCAGCCTCGCCCCCGTTCACGCCGCCCGAAAGCCTTGTGAAAAATTATTTGACAAACAGTTTTCCGCACGCGTTTTTCTTCGCTTTTCCCCCCCCAGCAGCATTCTGCTCCTTCTTCGGCAGTCTCTTCGCTTTTGGTTCGACATCTTTTTTTTTTTTTTGGTTTTTTTTTTTTTGTGGCTTGGCATAAAAATGCAAACTTTTTTAATTGGGTTTTTGTGTGATCGCATTTGGGGTAAAGCCATCGCCGAGTAGGGGCCCAAAGGGAGGCACCGGTAGCCTGGGGGCGGGCTGGGCTTGGCTGGGCTTGGCTGGGCTTGGCTGGGCTGTTCATACAGGGATACAGGGATTGAATTGGTAAGTCCCGGGTCTAATGCCGCGGTCCCAAACACCGCCGAAAATCCGAGTTGATGGCAGCCATTTGACGTCGCTGACTGCTCTGCTCAAAATTTTAAGCCGCTTAGCCTGACCAAAACTTCCCCCCACACCAAACACGACCCACCCACACTCGTACGTAGCCAAACCGACTCCCTGCCCACCCATCTAATGAATTCCATGGGCAAAAAAGCCCAACAATAAGAAAATGTTGACCAAAAATTGAAGGGAACACGCTCCGGGCAGAAATTAGGCAGGCTCAGCAAATTTTTTGACAGCTTCACAGCAGGAGGACGGGGACGGACGGGGACGGACGGGGACGGACGGGTAACGCGACCGTGGGGGATAATCCAAAGTCAGGTGGGTGCGAATTCTACATATAATCCAGGCGTAGCCATCGAAAGTATCGGGAGAGCCCTTCGATGCGATTCTCAAACGAATCAGTTGGTGAAGGATCATTGGAAGGGATTATGGATATGGCCATGGCCGAGAGTGTAAGCCCCAAAGAGCACCTGGAGAGTGGCCCTTGCTGCCCCAGCCCCTGCCCCTGGCTGGCCGTCATAAAAGTAATTGAACTATGTGATTATTGATTAAGCAATTAGTTGAAATTACACCAAGCACACAAAAGATACATCTCTTCACGCAGTTCACAATTGGTGGGGCAGTGGCACTGCCCGGCAGTATGGCTGCAACAGTAACTGTAACTGTAACTCCACTAGCCAAACTATCAACATCATTGGGCTGCCTCTCCCTCTCTCACTCTCTCTGCACTGTATAAACATTGCACGCCACATACGCAATATCTACACAGAGAGAGAGATAGAGAGAGCGAGAGAGAGCGAGAGATAGCCAGGGACATAGTCGTGGCTGTGACTCTGCCTCTGACTCTGCCACTGACTGTGGCTATATAGCCCATGTGCTATTTATGCCTGGCACACATCGCAAACAGCAGACAGGCTAACAGACTAAACCAGACCAGACAAGACCAAAGCCTCAATGCCAGCGGGTGTCAAATAACTTACTCGGAGTCCGCATATTTTTCCGGAAAGCGCCTGACAAATGTCTCATGGGCTGAACGTAAGATATGCTCCATCTTTTCCATGGAATAAATGCAATCACAGAGTTATTCCTAATCATCCAGCTCCTGCTTCGAATTCCGCATTTCCGCAACACTTTCCATTTGCAGCTAAGGGATACATTGTGGAATCTATTATCCCAATCATTCCTTCATTTATGTGTAGTACGATGGCTGCAGCTTGTCTGACTCTTCGGGGCATTAAGGGTCAGCTCTCAGTCCGATCGAATCAATTGCTGAACCATCCACCCATATATCCAACTAATAAAGTCTCCTTAAAGGGTATCCGCGATTCGCTTTTGGGCAGCGTGTTCCCTGCATTGTGTTTGCATGCGCTTTGTCGGCGCTTTAACTGGCGGCGCTTTAATTGCAGCCCCTGGCAGTGGGATAGTGGGGCAGCAGTAGGAGTGGAGGCCACCACCAAAACCGGGCAAAGTAAAGTCAAGTCAAGCCAAGGCAGGGCCTGTCCTATGTCCTGTGTCCCCTATCCTGTGTCCCGTATCCTATGTCCTGTGGGTAGAGCTCTCCTGTAGTCGTACCTCTCCTGGAGCTCTGGCTGGCTCTGGCACTGGCTTTCTGGCTCTCTGGCTCGCATGTGTTGCCATCGATTTGGCCGTTTAACATTTATCGCCTTGTGCTCTGCAAATGACTGCAAAAAGCGGCATCGGCAGCGGCAGCGGGTGGGGAGCAGATCAATATATATGTATGTCCAGCAATTTTGCACATTTTCCACTGCGTGTCACCTGCGCAGCGCAGATAAATGGCCAAAGACTATGGCAGAGGGGGCGGGGGTTGCCAGTTGTGAAGGATACTTAGGGCTTAGAATGTGGCGGGTGGCGGCAGTGGGTGGTATATGCCGCAAAAGTTTTCCCCAGCCAGCGGCGATTTGTCGATTTATGTGCTGTGAATTGAAATGCAGCCAAGGAAATTTCTCATCCAACGAGCTCCAGCAGCTAATGCAAAACAAATCGCTTAAAGAGTGTGGCAGTAAGGGTGGGCGGAGTGGCAGTGGGGGGTAGATGGTGTCACCTGTGTGTGCCTTTTTCTCACACTTCACTGAAGCTCTATGTGTGTGTGTGTGTGTGTGCTAAGCCAGTGTCCTTTGGGTTATTAGAGCCCGGTTCGGCCATCGATCTCATCTGCCTGTTTTATTATCTCAAAGTGAAACAACAACAGGAAAAAAGAAAAAAGGAGGGAAAACAAAAACAAGAAACAAAAGACAACAGGAGGAAGGGGTGCGGGGAGGGGGAAGAAAATGAAAATGGCGAAGCGCTGAAGCGTTAGCGACATTGTTGACCGTTAGCCGTTAGCCAAGAGTATCAGCCAACAACCAACAGCAGCAGCAGCAGCACACCAATGGGATGGGGAAGGGGGTAGGGGGAACGGGCAACGGGGAACAGCAACAACAACCAGGAAGAAGAACCGAACACTGTTTGACCCCAGCTGGTCCGTTGGCTGTCCAACTTGTCGCTGCGATGATTAATGGCCACCAAACTGATAAATCAA